AGCATAAGTAGATAAGCGTGTATCTTCTTTTTGAAAATTGCTGGGGATTGACTTTCATTCACTATGGTGGTGGCCATGGTATTTGAGTTTGAAAACGAAGGAATAAGGTGCGGTAGCTTTTGTCTACCGTAGTTGGTCCGAGTCCTCTCACTGTAATAGGTGGTTCTTCTAAAGTTATACATATCAACAAGATTCCCCAAAAGAACTAAATTAAATCTATCTTCACATCTGTATGTATGTATGTATTTATGTATGACATAAATTTCATATGCAAGTCCATATGTAAATATGTCCATATGTAAATATGTCCATATGTAAATAAAGTCCATATGTAAATTAATACAGCGATACTGTAATGGCTGATTTGTTAAAATTGTCGCGAGAAATTTGTTCTCTTATTCGCGTGATGTTTCCTGCGCTTAAACCAGTTGTTCGATGTACTAAACGAGTCCCACCTAAAATGCCATGGGTGTTATAGGGTTTTCTAATTGATACATGCAACCATTACATGTTGTACTTGTAAAAAAAATGGCAGCATATCCACGGAGTGAATGATGGGGAGTGGGGCAAAGCATTCGTCCGTCCATTCGTTCTTGCTTCCGTCTGTTCCTGCGTACGTCTGTGTAACCGTCCATGCGTCCATTCACCCGTCCGTGCGTGCGTCTCTTCGTGCGTCCGTTCCTGCGTTCGTCCATGCATCCGCGCCTGCGTCCGTTCATGCGTCCATCCATGCATCTGTCTGTGTGTCCGTTCGTCCATCTATTCAGCACTCCAAGTACCACCATCTCGCATCTTTTCATCATATATTCTCCATATAGAAGCACCGCCATCCAGCGGACATTTCAAGGACTAAACGGGAGGTGGCACATGCACACTTTCTTACGGCTTGCGCTTTGGGTTTACTTCCCACCTTTAACCACCTCGAGCTCATGATATATACTAGTTCACTGTATTCATGGCTATTCGGCCCAACGCTCGCTAAACCTTTCTAAAACCAAGAAGGTTACACCCAGCGAATACAACGTAGCAACCCTCTCTTGTCAGATCGTGCTCAATGTACATGCCAATAGCTGCTAATGAGGATCGCAGCGTGCGCGTTACCTAAAGGCCGAATGCTCCTGTCTCTCATTCCCCCTTAGCAGCCATTAACATGTGCATTGAGCACTATCTTTTAATGTTCAACAACGCACAGAAGAAATCTCTCACCGGAACCACCTTGGAGGTCAAAATCGTAAGGACCGCTATTTCGGGTATGTGCCACTGGTGGTTACGTACTACGATGGACGCACAAGCCACGCCATAAGGAGCTTCGCCCCTAAAAGAAATGCATCCGCCGCTCTGTGGCACCGGTGCTTCATACCTTTGATAGCCAATCCACAACACCTGTTTTTTTTTTGTTTTTTACAGAGAGCCAAAGCCGGAAACCAAAGGGCGGATTCCTTCGATCTTTATGTAAATGGTGATCTACCGACGCACATTGAATCGTAAAACAGGCATCGGGAAGCGCCTCTTTCTCTTTTTTCTCTCTGCGTAGATCTGTTTCTGATTGTACGAAAATGAAAACGGCGATTCAAGACTGGTCTATTGTATTTCGATTTGAATTGTCGCAATATTTGGGAAAATGCTTTCATACGTCACTGACGTTTTTTTGAGGCTTTTGTGAGTTGTTTTTTTAATAATGGCTAATTGGACATGTTACATCTGTTCTGTGCTGCAAGGTACGGTTGGGAACAGGGGCATTTTCGAACGCATTCAACATTTCTCTACTATTAAGTTAGCTGCCATATTTACTTCCATAGTAGAGCTACGTCAAATTTTTCAATGTTTCCTCTACTCGGCGACAACTTTTAAGGTTATACCGAGCAAGTTTTTTTAGGAGGAACGTCACAGTCAGGCCGCTTACGAAATTGGAAATTTAAAATTTATTAGAATTTGAAATACGAGTGATAAATTGCATGTGTTGCTTACAAATACAGAAGGAGGTCTCAAAATTGCAACACTGTCAGTGAGACCTCATGAAAAATTATTCATCAGAGTTAAAATCCAATAGTAAACAGTGGTAGGGATACAAAAATAATATATAAATGCACACATAAGCATGAATTAGGCAATATAATATATACGAAATGTGTAGATAAGTACAAAGAAACTAGTAAGATATGCAATAACAGTCACTCTGTATAATATCAGTCATTATTGGGGTGAGTAAAATAAATTGAGATATATAAAGTACAGATAAGTACAATGAAAAAAATGCAGAAAAGAACAAAAATTGCAACAACATACTCTGTATAATAGTAAGCACTAAGAATTGAGTAAGTGCGAACGCAAGCCTTTTTTAAACATTTCAAGGGATCTACTTTTTATCTCCAAAGGCGAAGAATTCCACAAGAATACAGACAAAACTTTTGCGGTAAATTCGCCCTAATTGGTCCTGGGCTTTTGGTAAAAAGTTATTGGCCTTTGCAAAACGAGTATATGACACCTGGAACAGACTTGAGTGTAATAAAGGAATGGGAAGTTTTCCATTCACATAATTGCAGCTGAGAATGCCGAGACAATATTTAGCCAGCTCCTGAATAGATGAAATTCCATGTGAAAAGAGTAAGTGGAACACAGTAGTAAGTGGAAGCTGCGTTTAGAAAAAAAAATAGTCAAGTTGAGCGTTTACACCACCCATCACACCTGAAATTCAAAGTTTCACAAAATACATTGTGCAATTTCATATAATATGCTCCAACGATAACTCGATAGGCAAGTTGTTTGTGCTTGAGACACGCTGACCTTTTACTACGACGCATTTGTATCAATCGCACATCGCAATTTATGTCGCAACAGTGTCGCAACAGTGTGTTGATAGACACTTGTAGATAGTTCACCAATTTTAAATAAGTTTCCTAATGTTGGCTAAATGACTGCTATTGTAGGCTGTCCACTGTTATAACAGGAACACAATCAGCATTCAACATCCTTTGTACGATTGGCTTTTTTCTCCCTTTCCCCACTCCAAGTCTAGGGTAGCCAACCCAGCCAAGCTTGGTTAATCTCCCTGCCTTTCTTCTCTATTTATTCCCTCTCTCTCAACCACTTTTTCTTGAAACGAAAGCCTCATAGATGCCCCACCAAACGAGAACTTTTGACCCGATGGCGACCGTAGTGAAAAGTTGGGCACGAGGGATGCAAAAAATCACGTCACAAATAAGAAACATTTGCGACGTCATCATAACGTCACAAAAACGTCGTGTGGCGTCATGTGATGTAACTACTTCATCTTTCAGTTTATTGTTACCATGGATGTAGCTGCTAAAATTAGCGTCGCAGTCAGTCTGCTTAAGACACGTATTACGAAGTGGAAGCATTTGAGAGTCGCTGATCTTTCACTCCGTGCCTTCGCGCATTTGCATCGAGTGCACCTCGTTACTTCGAGAGCGCGGCAGTGATGAGATCTTGTGTCGCAATACCGATGTCCCCGCGGCCCGATTCAGTCGCATCGTTATAAGTAGCGGTCCTCTATATAGCGTCATCGCGTTCTGGGGTGGCGTCATCAACTCAGCCTCGCTAAACTGCACCTGCGTTCCAGGCAATCGCACTCATTCCGATCGAGCAGCCTCGAATAAAAGCTGCAATGCTGACGCTAGCTCAGGTGGGCTTTTTCGAAGAAGGGAACGTTAAAACAAAAATCGCAGCATATTCACGGAGTGAATCGTGACGAGTGGGGTGAAGCGTCCATGCGTCCGTCCGTCCGTCTGTTCGTGCCTCCCGACGGACGAACAGAAGCATGGACGGATGGACACACGGACGGATGCTTCGCCCCACTCATCATCATTTACACCGTGAATATGCTGTGAAGACCACTAACGCCATCTAGTTACATTATGTAAAAGGACATATACACCCACCACCATTTACTGAGCAACTCATAAAGTACTGGTGGCTACATACTACTCCCACTATTTCTTCTACTACAACTACAACTACTACTACTGTTACTGCTACTGCTGAACATCGCGCAGAATTTTCGTACCACGAAAGCTGTGAATTGTGAGTAGCTGGTAGGGTGCCCGTGCTGAAATAGGTCAGTGGTGGTGGAGTGAGATTTGATATAATTACTTGTGTTTTACGTGTGAAACCAGCGATATGTTTATGAGGCACGCCGCAGGGGAGAACTGCGCATATCTCGACCACGTGGGTTTCTTCAATGTGCCCCTAATTTTAAAAACACGGGCTTCTAGCATCTTTGCCTCCATCGAAAACGCAACTGCCACGGGTGAGATCGAACCGGTGACCTTGGGGTTAGCAGCGGAGCTTTGTATCCTCTTAAGGAATCGCTAATACTCGCGTACACGCGCAAACTATTCCGCAAGGGAAGAGCTGTGGCCGAACACACACTATAGACAAGTAATTGATTGCGCTGTAGCGGCGACAGACCGTGTTAACGAACGTTTCATTGCTATAAACTATCAAAAACGACAAAGGGCAAGTTGTTATGCGTAGTCTCCAGTGACTTTGGTTCTGTGTTTTTTAGTATAATGAGTTCATGTAAGTCGGTACACTAGCACAGCTAAATACATACACCAGTTTAACTGTAACCACTGCAGTGAAGTGGAAGCTCGGGTGATACCTTTATACAACTAGGACAAGTGTGGCTTTACGTGCGCGCATATAATTTGTTTATCATTTCATTAAAGTCTTTTGATCGTGTACCGTGGTAGAGCTGTGGTTACGGTGCTCATCTGGTGACCCGTAGGTCGCGGGTTCGATTCCGGCCACGGCAGTCGCATTTCGATGGAGTCCAAATGGTAGAGGCCCGTCTACAGTGGGATGTAAGGGCTCGTCGAAGAACACCAGTTCGCCCAAATTTTCGGAGCCCTTCACTGTCATAATCATATCCCTATTTTGTGACATGAAACCCCAGATATTATTATTAAGAAGCTTTACTCATTTGTTCGCGCTGTAGCAAAAGCTGCCACCTCAACGATGCTTCTACCACTCCCAGGAATCAAGCCTGACGATGTCGGCGTGACACGGCCCGTGTCGGCATGAGCGGTGTTCGACAGCAGCAACCGGCCTTTCTGTGGGCGGGAGATGCGCCTGGACGCGGAAAGGTGAGATGCAGACGCCCGAGCTGGTGTCCAGTGCTTTCTTGGAGCATCTGGTGGTAATGAAAGCGTGCCCAGCTCAGTGTACGCAGTATGTCTATCTTGTTTAGGATTTGCTTTATTTTTTTCCCAAAGGACCCTCAAGCTACCTCGAGTTCAAAGACAAGAGAGTACTTTCTCTCGCGTCTTCGCTGCCCTTACTGCAGGTGCTGTCTCTTCGTCGCCATGCATTTCTCCATATAACACAAGGACAAAGCCAGTACTAAGCGTTGGGTCTATCAAAGTTCCACACCTTTAGACTATACGCTCATATCGCTGCTGGCACCATTGAAAACGCTTAAAACAAAAACAAGTAAGCTGATCGCGCACGATGTTCATGCAAGACAAGAGAGAATGGGCATCCGACAGCGCGACAAGGCAGTGTAGGAGACAGTCGACACTTGATATTTCTTGAATATGGACTACTCGAGATCTTTTGTTTTGCCTGATTGTGCCGAAAAGACGGAGATTTTGAGGAGATTGCGCGCTCGTTTTTTTTTTTCATTTTTCAGAAGTTGTTTGAAGGCCTTTTAATTGTGAATAACGTAAATAGAGCTAGCGATTTGGAGTAGTTGGTAGAAGTTGATCGCTTGATATCAAACCATTAAAAATGGGTCGTGAAACGTCTTCCGAAATTTTTCAACTATGTGTGTATTCAGAATCTTTGCCATCCATTGAATACTATACGTTCACTTGTTCGATCGTCAGGGTTCACTGAATAGCTAAAAAAACGCAATTTCGGTTTACCAACTCACTTTCCTCTCAACTGGGCCACCGAAGTCACTTGAAGACAGCCAATGAAAAGTCTCTGTCGTATACGAAGCATGGCAACGCAGTGATGTTTTTGAGCCTCAGTCGACCGTGATTAGTTGCATAATACCGTTATACTATGGTTGTGCAGGCTGAGGCAATCATTCTTTGCTGTTTTTTAAGGGTTAAAATAATTGACTCTGTTTTGGTTTCGATGCCGTCACCACTATAATACCATAACGTCACCACTATAATACCATAACGTCACGGACACACAGCCCTACCACGGTGGTTTAGTGACTAAGGTGCTCGGCTATTGGCCCGCAGGTTGCGGGATTGAATCCCGGCTATGATGACTGCATTTTCGATGGAGGTGAAAATGCCATAGGCCCGTGTGCTCCGAATTGAGTGCACATAAAAAAAATACCCAAGTAGTCGATATTTCCGGAGCCCTCCACTACGGCCTCTCTCATAATCATATGGTGGTTTCGGGACGCTAAACCCCACATATCTGTCAATCAATCGCGGACACGCAACGTAGAATGGACGACTTTCACGTCACCTGCTAGAGCGAAGTTCACGTCACCTGCTAGAGCGGAGTGCACATCGTCTGCTAGAGCGGAGTCTGCACTTGGGCTTTGAGCCACACGTTGATGCACCCGTGCGAGATCGGCCATCGTCAGAGCAAGACAGCAGCAGCGGTGGCGACGATGGCGAAGCCTGTGTCTTGGAAGCACTCGTATCGAGACCACGTGACAGAACCTCCGCTTGCGGAAGCCCGACCATGAGCATCCAGTCTGTGTCCCCATACCATCGGGGCCATCACGATTGATAGCTCGAAGCCACACTGATGTGCGCTGTGGCTCGCTCGGCAGCTTGTGAACGCTAACCCCACTGGTACTTGGATAAGTTGTGCGGCACTGTGTGACGACGCACGTGGTTGTCATTGAAACCGTGGCAAAAGCATTGACAACGTGGCTGACAAAGTTAATTCTAGCCCCGTCGCGGTGGTCTAGTGGCTAAGGTACTCGGCTGCTGACCCGCAGGTCGCGGGTTCGATTCCCGGCTGCCGTGGCTGCATTTCCGATGAAGGGGGAAATGTTCTAGGCCCATGTGCTCACATTTGGGTGCACGTTAAAGAACCCCAGGTGGTCGAAATTTACGGAGCCCTCCACTATGGCGTCTCTCATAATCAAATGGTGGTTTTGGGTCGTTAAACCCCACAAATCAAAGTTAATTCTAGGCAAACGGATTCGTGAGTGGACTCGCTCAGACTCTGATCGAGCCGTAAGTCTGAATGTGTTCAAGTTAGCGACAGTATGGTGTGTTTGAGCCTAGTTGAGAAACGTTCGTCTACTTATTTCGAGTAAGTTACGTTTACTTTATTTATTTATTTATTTATTTATCAGTACTGCAGACCACCACGTGATCCACGCAGGAAAGGTTGTACATCAATCGCAGGATCACAATAAAGAACAAAACATCTCAATCACAGCAAGATAAGGAAAAATAAACACATTGAGAAAAATTGGAACGCAATAAAAAATGGCAAGTACTGTCATGATAGATAATAATACATTGTGGGAATTGAGGCTAGCCCGTTGCCTTTGCGCGGGCTTTGCCGCCTTCTCTGCCGTTCTCATAACCTGACATGTCTCCCCTCCTTTGCTGTCTGCCGTGCTGGGAAAGCGGAGTGACGTTTAACCCGTTACCCGGTAGCGGATGCTGACTGTGGTGCCGCGCGTGGAGTCTCCCGAGAGGTTTTCGCGCGCTGTGTCGGGAGCGGGCAGATAGATACTCTCCAGGACTGCAGACGGTGAGCCACGCAATCTTTTCTGTCCGTCGACCCCCGTCGCTCGGGGCTCGTCGGACTTCGCTGACGGCGCCTCGCGCCCGAGGCGAACGCTCACTTTTGTTGCCCCACGGCGTACGCACGGCCGAAGGGTGGTACGGTGTCCTAGTGCGTGGCCTAGCTACGCCGACCCGTCTCCCTCCGAAGCCAACGCGAGCGCCTTTGCCCTCGCTCGAGCAACCGGGCCTTGGTCCCGGTGTCTCCGTGGATCACCTTTACCTCGGAGACGTGCTCGTGGCACCCTGTGTAGTACTTTTGTGCCCGTGGCTTGGATAAGCCTATTTGCTTTCCCGTCGCGCCTTTGCAACGGGCTGTACTGCGTTTGGTGTTGCCACAATAAAGTGTTGCGACTTTGAGCAGTATCGTGTTCTCGCCACGGCGACGGTTAACGCGTGCCCTGCGGCTCGCTAAGACCGGACCCACGCTGGTGGCCGTACTCCTTCGGGATACGTGTACACCACAACATGGAACGTTGAGGAACGTTTTGGTCAGTCTGAGTCCGAGTGGGTCCAAGTGGGTACACATTATAAGCGAGTCTGAGTGAGCTACAGAATGTTTGTAGACCTTTGCGTATCTGCCATTCACAAATGCGACCAGCTTTGTCTATACTAACATTGCCCTGCGTAGTTTCCATTTGTTTTTAGCCTTGAACTCTTGCATGCTATTGAACGCCTGTTCAATTTTTTCTGCTAACCCACTTCGTTACTTTTGATTTGCTCGCTTCGCAAGCACAAATGATCGATTTTTTTTTACTATGCAGTGCACACAACTGTGTGTTTGTGAATGTGCGCACGTCTTCACTGCTTTTTTTTGCTCTAGTGGGCCTCGTTGAGTTCCCAAACTACCCTTACAGCTTCGCCAACCAACCATTGACCAACGAAAATGAACAATCATAGCATTTAAACTTTACGTTAGAGCGACAGCAGGTGTAAGGGCCATCGCGGCCCCAATCCTAACACCTTTCGAATACCGATCACATGGGCGCAGGTGAGCGACCAGTGCCTGTGGGCAGCGTGCAAGGCGATGACCACGGGCCTGGTTCTCATCGTGATCGGTGCATCAATGGCCACCGTGGGCTTCTACTCGGACCACCTGTCCACCGTCGAGGAGAGGCGAGGCAACAGCACGGTGCGCGTAAAGAACGAGCACCGCGACCGGCACCTCGACAGCCTGACCTACCTAGGCCCCCTGGTCATGGGACTGGGAGGCTTCATCATTGTTGCCACCTGCGTGATGACTTTCGAGGCCCGCGATACCTCGTCGTCGTCAGCGAAGCTCGTCTCTGCTTGGTTCAAGAGGAGCAGGTGAGCGAGTGAGTGGGAGGGGTGAGTAAGTGGAATGGGAGAGGTGAGCGTGAGGGATGAGTGGGGGGTGAATAAGTAGGTCTGTGGTTGGGTGCGTGTGAATTTTATGTAAACCAGCGAATTGAGGCCAGGGTGCCAGGAGTGGCGAAGAGACCCTGTCTCCCAGCCCAGCTTATTCCCGTGTTCACTGGATGACCCATATTTAGGGCCCGAGGTAAATGTGAACATTCGATCAACGCTTGCCCGTAAAATTTCTGACAATTTGGATTTGTTCAATCAACTCTGATTTTAAAAGTGCATTTTCAAGGTTTAAAGGGAATGCGAAGTTGTGAATCGTCAATTGAAAAGAGCGCACCTCCGTCAGCGGCAGCAACGTCGTAACGAATGTTTGCGTCTATTACAACAAGCTTTGAAATTTAAATACAACAAACGTATGTGTTTTGTAATCAAGCATTTGTGCATCTACGTACAAGTAAATTTCAGGTTCTTTGGCGCCCGAGACGCACTCGGCGCCCGAGACGCACCACCAAGGTGGTATAGCTAAGTGGGAGAAGAAACGTACTGCTGCTATGCAAATAGCAGCTATTGACTTGCTGGTCGCTTGAAGATGAAGCAGAAACGCTGGATAAGTTCTAATAGACTGAGAATTCACGGACTGTAAAAAAGTTACACAAGTACGGACATCAAAGTTACGAGAGCGAAAAAAAACACTTTGGAAATGAACCGATTTCTGTAGGGCGACCCTACAAGATTCGGCAGAGCAGATGGTGCCTAACACCTCAAGCACGGTTCAGGACGCTTGGCAGAGCTCCGGGACCTCTTCTTTCTTCAGTGCTCCACCCTTACACAACTCTAGGCGAATCGTCACCTGTTTGTCCATTAATGGGACAGGATACATTTGGTCGATAAAAACTCCGCCACGAGGACTCTGCCTTCGTGAGCGCGTGGGCTCATGCCCTCTCTCCAAATTAGACAACAACCAAAATGTAAATAAAACAAAACTAGAGAAAGTCATAGAGGCATGGGCAAGCTCTGCGGCGCAAAATTATCTGGACAAAGGTACACGTATACTGGGGATTGCGGCGATAGTACGGTTTCCCTGTAGCAGGTCAACTTCTTGACGATGGCCCCGCCGCGGTGGTCTAGTGGCTAAGGTACTCGGCTGCTGACCCGCAGGTCGCGGGCTCGAATCCCGGCTGTGGCGGCTGCATTTCCGATGGAGGCGGAAATGTTGTAGGCCCGTGTGCTCAGATTTGGGTGCACGTTAAAGAACCCCAGGTGGTCGAAATTTCCGGGGCCTTCTACTACGGCGTCTCTCATAATCATATGTTGGTTTTGAGACGTTAACCCCATAAATCATCATCAATCATCAACTTCTTGACGACGGGGCAATAATCCGCGTGTCCCCTGTGCGCTGTAAGAGGAACTGCTCTCCAACCACCCGTGGTTCCACTTACGAGCTCGCTTGCGCGGGAGCAGTCGAAGACATGCCACTGCGACAACACGCACCAAATTGCTGACCGGGTATCCAATTGCTGCGACATCTGTGTGTGTAAGTGGTTCTTAAAAAAGAGAAAAGAAGACAGTGAGCCCCGTAACTGTCCTTTGGAGCTTCCATTTCTGGGTTCGCCAGTGCGAAAGTTTGCGAGGCAGTGTGGAATTGTTTGAATGAAACGAAAATACTAACAAACTAATATTATTCTTCTGTGTCCACATACGCATAACTTATCCTTTTTTAAGCTAGGTTTTGATCTAGGTTATTATCTATTACTAATGCAAAAAAACGTTATAGTAAGAACAGATCAGTGATCGTCAAAATTTTATTCTCAAATGTGTAACGTTTTCGATTTGTAAGTTCGTTTACTCTAAAATAGGGCAATACTTTATAAGGCCACTCAATTATTGGCCGATCCCACTCAGTGGCTATGGGCCACAAGTGAAGGGCAACAAGAACAAAAGCTGTCTGCATCATGATGCGACACCTCAACAGTGGCTCACGAGGGATGGGGGTAAGGAGGGATTAAAAGGAATAAGGCGGAATAAAGAATGTGGATAGAGATAGGGCAGGGAGAGAGAGACCCACATACGTAAATGAGAAGATAGGAAAGATGGACACGGTCGCAGGAGCCCGAGGACGGAGCATCAATCGGCGAGAGCTCTGGTCGGCGTCAGGAGGTGGCGTAGGACCAGCCCAGTCGGCCGGAGCTGCACTGTCGGCGGAGATCGCGGGGGCACAACCGGTCGGCACGAAATCCAGCGAGCGAGTCCGCGACATCCGCCACGGTTGCCAGCCCGCCCGCTTCCAAGATCTACCGGAGCTAAGCCGGACCGTAACGAAAGGTTGTCGGCTACCTCCGCGTTTTCGCGACCCGCGCTGCCTTGAAACGGTGTGCGCGAACCGATGTGAGGAGTCACCGCTCCACGCTGGGTCTCGGAAGAGGCCCATTTATACGCCGGCTGAAAGGGCCGTGAGGCAATGAGAGGGTCATCACAATGACGTTTCTAATCGCACCCTTTTTGTTGCACTCGTGGGGGTCGGTTTTTTTTACGGCGAAAGCTGTTATGGGATAACTTTTCGGGTCACGCGCAGTTGTTGTCCTCCGCCGCAAGTGTCCGTAACCGCATCACGCGAAATTAGAAAAACCTTGCACCACGGACACAGCGGGGCTTGAACCCGGGTCCGCTGCGTGCCATCCCAATATTCTACCACCGAGTTATGCCGGTGCTTGTAAATTGCTGCCAATTAAACTTGCCTTAGGCAGGCATGACCAAGCAACAATGAAACAGTGGGGCTCGAGCCCGGGTCCGCTGGGTGCTAGCCCAGTATTCTACTACTGAGCTAATCCGGTGCTTGTGACTTGTTGTCAAACTTGCCTTAGGCAGGCTCGATGTCGAGTAAGCAATCGCGTTAATTAGACTTTTAAAGCGTTTTGCAACAGCGAAAGAACAACCAGTCGTCGCACAATGCGAATAGCGTAACGAGTGGGCCGTCCAATGCTCCAACCCATCACAAATGATTGTTCTTGTTTACCTATTAACTGTGGCGCATACCCGCTGCAGCCACGATTCCTCATCTTCGTCAGTCACTGCATGGACAATTGGCACGGAATTCTTTGCAAGTGTTCAGCGGATACCACGCTTCTCAGAATCATGCAAAATAGCACTGCGAATGCCGGCCTACTACCCAAAGGTCTGTTATGAATGCCCTAGTGGATACCAAGCAAGTGTGCGTGCAGTAGTTACCCAATGAGTTTTGAAAATGCTGTGAAATGCCGCTGTTTCAGCTTTCGCTAAGACTGTGCTGCGCCTAGCGCGCAGGCCTGGCGTTATTTTCCCAGGTTAACAGGGACTCGAGAATCTTGGCAATCTCCGGTGCCGCTGAACTACGCGGGGTACGATGCTAGTGCCGTACTGTCTGCGTTCACAGCAAATCCGGTCAGACACGCTTCGACTGAGTCCCATTAAAGGAACGCTGCCTGCCAATGGCTGACCTGCCTCCCCAAGCTACCGACGCAAAGTAAACTGCCACGCAACCAATTCTAACCGCAAGTCCTTCAGTATGTATTCATGCGTTCAATCCTTCGGGACATCTGAAACGCACTTGGTGGGTTCGCATGTTCTCGTGTTCATGTATCATTTCAGCTAAGATATCAGAATATTGAAAATTTATTACAAATTTTTTATTTGCAAAATAGCCTACTATTGGCGAATGTCCTTCCCAGGTGCCCCTAAATGATGGCTGGTGTCGTCTATACAGTAGTGTTTACTGTTAGATAATATCTACTAATGTAAACTATTCCCTGTTCAAGAGCAACGTTAGCCGGCTCCCTGTGTCCTGATCTTATGATCTCATGACCGAGCTTTCCTACCTGACCTAGATTTGGTAGACTTTTGTCAGCTGGTCGGTAAGAGGTCTGAGATGTGCGGACTGATGCTCCTAATGTGAATTCAACAAAACGCCCTCTCTACTGCTTTCTATTTTTATACTCTACTGCCTCTTTCTGCTCTGAGTCACGTTCACTTATTCGATGTTGAACACGGACTGCGCCGAATTTCTCTGCGTTGGTGCGTAGTTAGATTAGACCTGGTTAGTTCGTAATGACTGATTAGTCACTACGCACTAACCAGGTCTCATGATACACTGCTTCATGAGGGACAATACGAAAACCATAGCACATGCGCCTTCTTTAGCCAATATCATTCACTGCAATCGGTACCCAATCAGTAAACTCTTTCAAAACAATGAGGAAACTGCCATTAGTTAAAAGCTGTCCTGCCTGTTCTTTGCGCGTTCACGAAGTGATTGGAACTCGACGTGAAAAACGTTACTGCTTCGGTTGGCGCACGTCGATGCACTTGCGCAGAAAGTAGAGCTCTTTTTTTCATGTGGAGTGTGCACTAATCGCCGCAAGCTCAACCGAGCAATGCTTCCGATGTGCGGTTCCTTCAATACGATCCGATGAATGCGTTCAGTACGGCCAAGTATAGAGCCGCCCGAGAGTTGTTTCACCCGCAAGAGCGAAATTTCGTTTCTTTGCCTGGACTTGCGCTCTATAGTGATCGCTGCTTGGACGTCCCTGTTATTAAGGCACGAGCCTCAGATGCCTCATCAAACGGGAAAAATCACCGTTTGCGTCCCACGGCGTCAGGGACGAGCGATGCAAAACCTCTTCGTCGCGTAATGGCATCGTCATACGACGTCATCATGACGTTACAGATCGAAAAAATATTATGACGACGTCCGAAGTAATGCCGCACAATGCCATTGTATCACCCTCCTTTGGGCGCTACTGCGCTGTTTTCCTCGCATTATGGGAAAACGTCATTTTCCTCGCAACCGGGGAGGAGGATAAGCGAGGTGTCGATAAGCAGCCATGCGAGAGGAAAACGCTGTCACGCAACGAAGTATGTTGATTTTCGGCCAGGGTCACAGTATCGTCCTTGAACGCGTTTTCTAAGCGAATCAATGGTGGATCTGCTGTTTGGTGCAGCGGTGTCGGTTTCGCCTGCTAATTATCCCGTTCACCACTCCGCTGTGGCCTTTCAGAAATGTCAAAATGGTATGATCTAATTGCAGCAAAAGCTGAAATTCGTCAAGTCTGACTCAACCCCTTATTTTCTCCGGTTAAACGTTAATTTTGTTCTTTTTATAATTACTACCGTAATTATTGTTTCTACGCATCTGAAGATGCCTTCTGTCCACAGTAAAGAGAACGCGGCAGGTAGCATGGTGATACCTCCTTTGTCTAAGTTTTTTTTAATAATAATAGACAGATTTCTTGAACCATCATGTATATATATGATCGACAGTCGAAACAAAGTCAGTTAATATTCAGTTACTTCGGAAAACAATGACACTTCTAGAAACGTTGAGTTCAGTGACATCCTCTGTACAAGGTTACATCTTTCAAAGACAGACTAAAAATATTGAAAAGGGGCTGTTTTATTCTAAGTGATTAGCAGAGAGGAGCAAAGAATAATTTGATTCAACGCGATTATGCAACTGGCTCGCAATCGCTTTGTTCTTTCTACAAACCACAGGTCGTACGTCGCCCCCAGACCGGAGATCAGCTGTCAGGGCACCAGTGCGAGCGACGTATCTTGGGAACGCTTCCTTCCGGGCGTCCGTCATGACTCGACCGTCACTGAGGCAGACCGGTCGGCCGTCACCAGTGCCCTCATCAGCTTCAGCAGGAACCTGCAGAGTAGCTTCGAGTCCGGACGTCTACCTGGCGGCGCCGGTACGCTAGGAGGCGCATCGTGTGGCGGAGGTACTGGCGTCACCGAAGGTTCCACCGCTGGAAGTCCCCGCGAGAAATTGCACCGGTGTCAGTCCGACCCCAACGTCGTCGGGCTTGGACTGACCTGTGGCAGCGGCGGCGGTTCACCGACCTTCCGCGAGCCCACGTCTCCGCTCAAGAAACGCGAAGAGGCCGAGCGCGAGTGCTTCCTGAAGCCTCCGGCCAACCCACAACTCCTGAGACCTCGGCCGTTCAACGTGTCCCCACACGACTACCGTAAGGTCGTCTCCGTCGACTGCGCCTCGCCCCCCGTCCTCGACGTACCTGCGGCTCTCGGAGAAAGCCACCCAGCTCAGTCGTCCTCGTCTCACGGCTCCATGGCCATGGACGTCTACTTTCCCGAAGGTGCCGTCACGCTCAAGGTTAAAGACCGGACGAAGAAGCATCACCACCACCACCACGCCTCGGCGGCCATCTCGCCACCGAGCACGAGTAGCCGGAAAGGCAGCCGGTCGTCCGCTGCTTCGAGCCGGAAGTTGTCCAAGAGCGAGGTAGGGTCCGGCGATAGCTATGGCTCTACCGAGTCTGACACGTCGCCCCGCAAGTCGCGGACCTCGACGCCCGCCCGGAAGTCGGAGGCATCGATGCGTCGCGCCTCGACAACCGCTTCGTCGACGTCGACCACGAGTCCACGACATAGCCACAGCGAGGCTTCGGGCACCAGCAGAACAGGAGGTTTGGTCCTGACGACGACCAAGTCGGCGACCATGAAACGACACCCATTCACGAAGCAGCAAGCGCTCGACACGCACTCTTTCGGCTCGGCGGACGCATAGACGGTAGCCGATTGTTCATGAAGTGGCCTGGACACGATGCCATTCGCACTAAGAGACGTCACTAATCTCGAAATCTGCTCGACCAATGTGCTCTGGATTCGTGCACGTCGACGTGGCAAGTCATCGTAAGCTATTCATCGTCACCTTATTGCGCACCGCTTAAAATGCGAACGCTTGGGATGAAGGACTAGACGGACACAACCGCAAACTTTCAACTGAGTTTATTGGACAGGCGCATGATGCTTTTGTGTAATCATGTTTTATGGTTACAATAGCTACCTTACTCATTCAAGCAAGCAAGCCCTTACATTTTAAGCTGCGCTGGTAAAAACTTCGTGAATGGCTGGCTAGGTGGTTTGTTGTGATCGAACATGAAGACTCAGTTCTTTTTGAAGACAAAAACAGGCTCTCAAATATCAGCCGCAAAAGGCAAGTAGTAGGTGGACCAGCGGGAAAATGTTGAAAAGCACATGCTGTATGATGTGCTAACAGGCTGCTTGTTGCTGACGCCGCACTCAAGAGTACCATTTGTTGATGACGGCTTGTTCGCAGGGCATATTATAACTTACATACGACAAAAAAAAAGAATAGAAACACTACCGGTAACTGCCAGTGTAAACGCTGTCCGGAAGGAATGCTATTACTACTTTAGAAGGCTGCTGTGAATTAAGGAGCGCTATACGTTCTGCCCAAATGGAGATCTGTAAGGGGATAAGTGCGTTCTGTTCGATATGTATGAACACGAAAGTGATTTGAGCTAAACACCTAACCTGTGCAGCAGACAGGCGCAGTTGGAGCTTGCCACAAACAACCGAATGGTACGAGCTCGATTCCAGAGAACACAGTGAGTCGTCTCCACTTGCGAGTGATGTGACGTGCGCGGCAACAGGGACGTCGGGCTTTTTTCCACGTGACATACTTCGATCTCATCAGCCGGTAGCCATACCACGTCCTTAGCGTCGGCTATAATCCTAAGAGGATCAAGTTTGTGCCATGGTGCTGCCCTCTGGTGCATACCATAATCACAGCAGTGAATCTTTGCACAACTCTACGAGGACAGTTTGCAGTCATTCGCTGTTTTAGAACCGTTTTAGGGTGTGTTCTATGTGATGCGGAATTCACTTTCGGTGTTTCATGTTTTGTCTCACCACCATGTCCGTGTCATGCCCGTAATCCATAGTTGATTGCAACCTAAGCATAAATACAAGCTCTGCCTCTAGAACTACTCTGCACCTGTCAGTCAAGAAAGTGGTGCTAAGCGGTTTTGCTTATTATCATAATGACTTTTTTGCTGCTGATTTAAGCACTGCGCATGTTGTTAGGTAAAACCTAATCGCCCCTGCTTAAAATGTTACGTTTTCTGCAACAGCGATGTCAAAGTACTTGCTGAAATCGGTTAAGACGTTCCCGCTTTTTGACCAAAAACCAGCGACATGAAAGTCTCTGCATAAGAAAAGCGCCTGCCTAGAATAGGCGAAGGGTGACGTCACCGAAATGAACAAATGCAATTGAATGCCGCTTCTACGCATTTTTTTTTCTGTGTGGGATAGGCAAGACTGTAGCCGGAGCTTACATTTATTCTTACGCTACGATCAACTACAGCTGAGAGGTGTTAAGCTGCACTAAGATGTATTACTCGCCTGCGTGTCAGATTTCAGGTTCACATTGTTGTCCTGTGTCCGTGAAAGATAGACCTAATTTCCCATCAAGTGCATAGCAGCTTCATTACTCTGGAGTTCATACACGCTTCACCAGGTCCCGTTTTTCTTCATATATGACACACATCTTTCTTATAAGCAGATCTGTTCAGCTGCACGTTGAGGTCTTTTTTTTTTCTTTTCGAGGTACCCAAGACAGACGCTGAAGTCCGGTGCTCAATATCTTAAAGAAAACAGGGGAAGCTGCGTTCACGACTGATACTATAGTTGAATGATCGCAGAATGCTTCACGATGTCGTTGGTAAACAAACTATACATTTCACGTCAAGACCTATTGACCGATATTCTGGTTAAAGTCCTGTACTAATAGTAAAATATCTAGCTATACCTTTTTTTCTATGTCACTTAACAGGCGTAAAACAATCCGGCAAGCGTCTGAATAGTTTCACCTCTCAGTGTTCATACACAGGGTGCTCAGGAATGCGCGAGCTCATCGTACATACCCAAATAAGATAATGCAACGTTGAAGCTTGTATCACTGTCAAAAAGCAAACGTCTTTCTCCGATTTTAAAAGAGTAGTTGCCAAGCATTGCTGAAACTCGAGCTTTCGATAATTATTGTCTTATAAGAGAACACCTTGAGACAAATAAAGAATCGGGATGCACAAAGAAAGCCCAGACACGTTTGAAGGAGAAATCTATGTAATTTTATTACGACTGTCATGTCCCCTACAAGAAGTGAACTCAATATTCCCGAAGCCTGCTGTCACCTTAGTAGTTTGGCAGCCCACCTACGAGTCATTTCTCATTCAGAACCAATGTCCTAATGCTTCTGTAAACGTGAGAAAACACTTGCAACCGTTAATCACAACCGCGTAATCTTGTCATCATCTTCAAGTCTCGCGTTATTTCATATATTCAAATTTTTCTGGCAAACGTCCACGCTTGTTTGACGAATGAGCTATACAGGGTTTAGGACTAGCCTGACGTTGGAGAAGTGTAATGATGTCTTTCAAACAAAGAATGTACAAAGGACCGAGATTTGATCAGTAGCTTGCTTCCTTTTTTGTCATTTCATAAAAAGATAAGGTTAAGTGCCGAACCTTTCTTCAGTTTGTCGTCACGATCACTGTTTAAGGGCTGACCAATAGCACAGCGAGGCGAGCCAACGCTAGCCTCTAGTATACTAGAACAGCCGTTCACATCATACAACATATCCAACTTCTTCTACGTGTACCCCAGTGTTCTCCTGCCAATGAGTGAAGCGTTGAAGCTTGCGCGGTGATGCGGTCAACCGCGTGATAGTGAAAGAGGGTTGAACTATCTGCAAGGGGCAGCCAAAATCAAGCACACAATGACAGACGAATATGCACATGCTGAGACGCGCATCCTCTCCGACTAAGTGTTAACGCTCGGTTGCTAAGCGATGGCAGCTTATACGAAGAGTGCGTGTACAAGCGGGTAAATGTGTACATCCCATTTATGCTTTGAATATCTGTACCGGAAGCTTTCATGAGTCCTAGTGGCAAACGTGGAGCCAGTATATGCCTGGGGTTCGCGTTAAAAAAATGTGGCTGTCTGGTCAAACAGCTGATCAGAGATGATGTGCTTTTGTTATCACAGACTAGGCTAAAATATAGAGTAAGAAGCCGCTGTAGTTCGTTCTGCTGCTTACACAGCATTTGTATGTTCTCTTTTATCATTTTTTTATTTATCTTCATGTTGTTATTACTGCGCCTTTCCAGAGTGCGAATTTTTTCTGACAGCACTTCACGCACGTGCAATACCCGAAACGCTACATGTATTCGCATTACCAGTGCCTGTATTGCATAACAAAAAATCGTATATCTCTAGCGCAACGCTAAAGAGACGGCCCAATATACGTACACCTGTGCGTGCCAATAATACAAGTGACCGTCTTTGTATGCGTAGAATGTGATGTTTGAATGTACTCTCGATTTTTAAATCCAAGGCAGCTAAAAAAGGCACGACAGTATGTTTTAGTTTCTCAGAGGTGAATATGCATAGGTTGTCTGCTTGTTCACCTGTTCTACCTTTTACCGAGAACGAGGAACAAGTGGCGCTACCGGGCTTCTGTGAAACTATATTCTTTTATTATATGTCGGCAGCATATCCGAAAACCTCGCGAAACTTTGCCAGGTAATTTGAAAAAACGATTTCATTTAAGGCGTGATGCCGTTTAGAAAAACATCTTTATTGGGAATCGTATGCAAAGTTTGCACTCTAGGCCAATGTACTAATACCCACACTTTAAGGCTTTATTTTGAGAGTCCGAATGCATCATTTATCGACATGTGATGAAGTGCCGGTGTTAGTCACGAAATGTCGAATTATCAGCGGTTAGAGACGTGAGGCAAATGAACCGTTGAGACCGAATGCTACGCTATAGTTTAGTATTCCGAAGTCTTAGCAAATTATTGCACTTGTTGCAACGCACGGCTGGCCAAACCGTCTCGTAACCTTATTGCGCACTTATGATACAAACTGTAACTGCTTGTGAAGCGTTAATCTAAACTGCGGCCTCTGCTTCAAACGCATCTGAAAACTCAAAAAAAATTATTGTCATTGATATTATTTGAGCACATTTCTTCGGCAATGAACAAACACTGCAAGTTCGTAAACATTTCCTAAACCGTTTGATTCTGTCATCGACAAAGAACGAGAAAGTTACGAATGGTCGATTATAAGAATGGGTATTGAAGTTCTAAAACTGAATGTTGTTTTTACTCACTTTACAAAATATTTGAAAGTGGCCTGGTTTCTTTGCATTATATGATAAGGGTGATTGTAGAATATGAAAATACCCTTAATTTTCATTCATAGCATCTAGAACTTGCCAGAATACCTTGCTCACTAATTCACTATCCTCCTCACTATTCACTGTTTTCCTCAGCAAGCGCTGTTTATTGTGACTATCTTGCGGACTTCATCTTATAGGATGTGATACACGTAAATTCTTAGGCCGGAAGAATTTCTGAACTTTTTTGTAGCAGAGCATTTGTAAACATTGTGCAGAAAAAGTGCCACCTTGATGCTTGGCGAATTGTAGTGACTTGTGTGATGTGACTGTATGCTAACTGCTGAAGTTGGCTGTGAACTGCGTGTCGGATGAGCTAAATATTCTAGGCAACGTTGGAGTGTATGTGGTAATCCCAATGTGCTTTAGACTCTTTGTATTTTATCAGTGTCTGCGTTTGTGACTCTTTTTCTGTGCCCTTCTTATCGTGTCCACAAAGCAAACTGACACATGATCATCCTATCATTCCTTCAAACAAATATGTCTAATCATTCCTTCAAAGATCTCTAGCTTTCACCTTACAGCACATGCAGTTGGTTCTATATACACATCCTATTCGCGTAAGCCAGATAACTTATTTACACATGTTCTGATGCACAGAGGCCTCAATAGACACTCCTCTCTTAGCAATACGAAGTCCGAATTGTCCTAGAAGGTATGAAAATCCAAGTTCAGCCCTTGCCCCAAGTGTTCCTTAATCCTCTGGCCTTTTGATAATCGCTGTGATCCACGCGTTGTCTGATGTTGATATTGTTGATACTGTTGCGGCGTGTAATGTGCCATGTATACATGTATTTCTCTAAACACAGCGAAAACATCACTCGCCGTTGCCATTGTTACAAAATGCCCAAACAATGTAGGTGTGCTCATTCCTGCCTTGTGAATAAGTTGAGAGCGTGGTGGTTTGGGCTAGTTTGTATGACATGACGATTGGTATAGTGCGATATCAGAACGACGACAAAGGGACAAGATGAGCACTCTTCTTCTTGTTCCTTTGTCGTGTTCTGATATCGCGCTAGAACGATCGTCGTTATGAATAAGGTCATCATATCACAAGATGAGATACCGCGTCGACTTCACGCCGCGAACGTCAAGCCCGAGAACATTTGCTTCCACAGCGTCACCATATTGCACAGCACTTTTCATTAGTCATTAAAGAAAAAGGGACGGCACTGCGAAAATCAAGAGTGGTGTCTCGGAAATCAAGGCAGCAAAGCTGTTTTCACAGGCGACGACTCAGTCCATTTCTCCGAAGAGCTTAAATAAATCACGCTAGCTGCCATGAATGGCGTCGCTATTCCAGGCACAACATGAACAGCAGTTGCATAAAGTAAGCAGGCCAGTTAAAATGTTAAATTTCCACGCATCATTTATAATGTAACTTGCATACTACCCAGCACTGCTTATAAATTCAACATGTCTGCACATGGACATCTTTTTACGAAATTAGTAGCAACGACTGCACCATTTCCTAGAATTGCAGATCAACAGAATATCAAAATATTGATCTTGAGTGCGGCGGTTTCACTTCGTTTGTTGAAGCATTTGGATACCTTCCGAAGAAGTGAATATGTATGCCGATTTTTTTCCCACATTGAGTAAATTTAATACACAAACAGCCGATGTTAATTACATCGCTGAAACTAATATTCATCGAAAATCGTGCTCATTTTCTTAATACGGAATTATATACGTTCAGGCACATTAACTTTTGATGAGGTCATGTATTTTGGAGAGTAAAAAAGGTTAAAAGCTTAAGCAAACCGCATTCGTTAAAACTGTTAAAATTAAACTATGAAAGAATGTCGAATGTTCATGGTATATAATAGAAACTTGGTGCTTTGTGAATCTGATGCGGGACATTTTGAAAAAAGCTCAAAGAAATATAGGTGTGTATGGACGCATACGTGAATTGACGAACTTGTGAAATCACTTTTTCGTCTTAGCTTTCTTTTTTTTTTTTTTCATCACTACGACGTACAGTAAAGCTTACAATTGCTCATAACGTCCGAGAATAGGAGTGTTTGACAATACCTGTATTTCACAAA